ACTAACGTCAATGATAACACAATAAATAATATTAATTCATGAGCTGTAATCTTTCAAATTTTTGGGCATTTGATGCGAGAGCGAGACTATCCTATTGTGAAATTACATAAATAAAAATATATATCGACTTTGAAAACATTTTCCTATAATTTACATTACAGTAAAATATAACACATGACCATTGTAGCAAATTATTAACAAGTACAATGTAGAATGTTAAAGTATACAAACCATAACCGGAAAAGTCAGGTTTCAAATTCCAGTTATTTCACCAACAGTCTCTATATGCTCTCATGAGCAAAAGTTTTTAAGCAGCAAGCAGCTTCTGGATGTCCTTCTGCAAAATAGCCGAAACAAAATTGATTGGTAACAAACAAGGAATCAAACCGATATGAACTGAACCCGAAGTAGTAAAGCCAACTTTACCTCGATTTGGAAAGGGGATGTGGTGGGAGGGTACCTCTCGACAACCTTTCCCTTTTTATCAATCAAGAACTTCTCAAAGTTCCATTTAATGAGATCACCCAAGAATCCTCCTGCGTTTGATTTCAAGAACTGGTAGATCGGCGCTGTGCTTGGTCCATTCACCTCAACCTGTGTGAATTCAAACTTATTCCGATCTGCAAACCGAAAAGAACAACTCATGTTTTGGATTTATATATATACCTTATCAAATATAGGGAACTCTGCTTTAAACCGGGTGCAAGCGAATTGTTTGATCTCGGGGTTTGACCCGGGCTCTTGACCACCAAACTGGTTGCAGGGAAAAGCTAGAATCTCAAAGCCTGTAATCAGAACAACAAGAAAGGTTATGTGATGTGTTACTAACTACGAATTAATAGAGAAAAGTAGGCGTATATTGGTTATTCCACCCAAAAATGCTTAAAGACAAGATCAGTAATCAAATGAGTTAGGATTCGTTTAGCTACAAAAAACGGATGAGTTGAAATTATCAACAATCCAAACGTTTCAGAACAATTCAAATACATTAGTTATAGTGAACTGTGAGCAAGTAACATTGCCATAGAAGTAGAAACAGCAGGAACAAATCATATTGACACCGAGAATGATACAAAAACCGAGAAAACAATGCAGTGAGCATGAAATGTTAGGAATTTCCAGTCAGCAACAAACACTAAAATGTCTAACATCATTTTAAGAACTACGATTTTCATACACAAAGAGGCTCGAGTCGCAAATCAATTGCAGGAAACAAATCAATGCGATATCTTCACTGTAGAGTGCTAATTAGATCTCACCTTGGCTCTTGTATTTCTCGTACAGATGTGAAAGTTCTGAGTAATTTGATGATGTCAAACCACTGTGCGTTCATCAAAACACAATCTTTAAGATCAGAGAAAGCTCTACTTCAACTATAAACAAAATCAATTTCTAAATTGCATATAGAGGATAAACAAGGAGAAAAGTAACCATCTTGAAGCGACATTGACGATCAACATAACTTTCCCCTTGAATTTGTTCAAAGAAACATCGTTTCCATCAATGTCCTGCCTCAAAGAAAAATCAAAGTTTACGACGTATATCTCCAATTGAAATCACAAACCCAAGTGTGCTTACACTTCATAATTCAATAAGAATCCAAATCGTTTCATTACAAGTTGAAATTCCCAATTCAATCAGAGAACCCTAGTTTTCTTAATGGGGTAAAAGAAGAAGAAGCAAACCTTAACGTTGAAATCGTGAACGGTCTTCTCTGCAGCAGCTCTAGAGTGAACAGTGAAATTGCGGGACTTGAAGAGAAACCCAGGATTAATCGGAGATTTTAGGGCAAACCCATTACTCAGATTCCCGGAATTTGATAGGAAAGTGGAGAATTTCAAGGAAGGGGCGAGAAAAGCCGCAGGTTTTAGAGATGGGTTAGGCCTGGAACCGTTGAAGACTGCAGAGAATGGTGCGTAAGAAAACGAAGCCATGGAAACCATTCTGGTAAGCGAAACCGAGTTAAATGTTCCTGGTCAAAGTCAGTCTGATAATCAAGAGCTATTTATATGATGCCAAAAGAAGATAAATTTTTTGGTTTTTTTTTTTTCAGATAATGATAAGGAATAATTTGTTG